CCAATGGTCTTCTCCACACTGTCATCATGAGGTTCTTTCTTCTTCATGAGCTTAGCTTTGGCTGATCTCTCACTAAATCTCGTACTGTCTTCTGCCTTTTCACCAATGGTCTTCTCCACACTGTCATCACGACGTTCTCCTTCTTCGTGAGCTTAGCTTTGGCTGATCTTTCACTGAAGCTCGTACTGTCTTCTGCCTTTTCACCAATGGTCTTCTCCACACTGTCATCACGACGTTCTCCCTTCTTCGTGAGCTTAGCTTTGGCTGATCTTTCACTGAAGCTCGTACTGTCTTCTGCCTTTTCACCAATGGACTTCTCCACACTGTCATCACGACGTTCTCCCTTCTTCGTGAGCATAGCTTTGGCTGATCTTTCACTGAAGCTCGTACTGTCTTCTGCCTTTTCACCAATGGACTTCTCCACACTGTCATCACGACGTTCTCCCTTCTTCGTGAGCTTAGCTTTGGCTGATCTTTCACTGAAGCTCGTACTGTCTTCTGCCTTTTCACCAATGGACTTCTCCACACTGTCATCACGACGTTCTCCCTTCTTCGTGAGCTTAGCTTTGGCTGATCTTTCACTGAAACTCGTACTGTCTTCTGCCTTTTCACCAATGGACTTCTCCACACTGTCATCACGTCGTTCTCCCTTCTTCGTGAGCTTAGCTTTGGCTGATCTTTCACTGAAGCTCGTACTGTCTTCTGCCTTTTCACCAATGGTCTTCTCCACACTGTCATCACGACGTTCCTTCTTCGTGAGCTTAGCTTTGGCTGATCTTTCACTGAAGCTCGTACTGTCTTCTGCCTTTTCACCAATGGTCTTCTCCACACTGTCATCACGACGTTCCTTCTTCGTGAGCTCAGCTTTGGTTGATCTTTCACTAAAGCTCGTACTGTCTTCTGTCTTTTCACCAATGGTCTTCTCTACACTGTCATCACGACGTTCTCCCTTGCTCGTAAGTTTAGCTTTCCTAGACATTTCACTGAAGGTCGTACGTATGCTTCTGCCTTTTCACCGATGGTCTTCTCCACACTGTCATCACGACGTTCCTTCTTCGTGAGCTTAGCTTTGGCTGATCTTTCACTGAAGCTCGTACTGTCTTCTGCCTTTTCACCAATGGTCTTCTCCACACTGTCATCACGACGTTCCTTCTTCGTGAGCTTAGCTTTGGCTGATCTTTCACTGAAGCTCGTACTGTCTTCTGCCTTTTCACCAATGGACTTCTCCACACTGTCATCACGACGTTCTCCTTCTTCGTGAGCTTAGCTTTGGCTGATCTTTCACTAAAGCTTGTACTGTCTTCTGCCTTTTCGCCAATGGACTTCTCCACACTGTCATCACGACGTTCTCCCTTCTTCGTGAGCTTAGCTTTGGCTGATCTTTCACTGAAGCTCGTACTGTCCTCTGCCTTTTCACCAATGGACTTCTCCACACTGTCATCACGAGGTTCTCCCTTGCTCGTAAGTTTGGCTTTCGTAGACATTTCACTGAAGCTCGTACTGTCTTCTGCCTTTTCACCAATGGTCTTCTCCACACTGTCATCACGACGTTCTCCCTTCTTCGTGAGCTTAGCTTTGGCTGATCTTTCACTGAAGCTCGTACTGTCTTCTGCCTTTTCACCAATGGTCTTCTCCACACCGTCATCACGAGGTTCTCCCTTGCTCGTAAGTTTGGCTTTCGTAGACATTTCACTGAAGCTCGTACTGTCTTCTGCCTTTTCACCAATGGTCTTCTCCACACTGTCATCACGACGTTCTCCCTTCTTCGTGAGCTTAGCTTTGGCTGATCTTTCACTGAAGCTTGTACTGTCTTCTGCCTTTTCACCAATGGTCTTCTCCACACTGTCATCACGACGTTCTCCCTTCTTCGTGAGCTTAGCTTTGGCTGATCTTTCACTGAAGCTTGTTCTGTCTTCTGCCTTTCGCCAAGTGGACTTCTCCACACTGTCATCACGACGTTCTCCCTTCTTCGTGAGCTTAGCTTTGGCTGATCTTTCACTGAAGCTCGTACTGTCTTCTGCCTTTTCACCAATGGACTTCTCCACACTGTCATCACGACGTTCCTTCTTCGTGAGCTTAGCTTTGGCTGATCTTTCACTGAAGCTCGTACTGTCTTCTGCCTTTTCACCAATGGTCTTCTCCACACTGTCATCACGAGGTTCTCCCTTGCTCGTAAGTTTGGCTTTCGTAGACATTTCACTGAAGGTTGTACTGTCTTCTGCCTTTTCACCGATGGTCTTCTCCACACTGTCATCACGAGGTTCCTTCTTCGTGAGCTCAGCTTTGGTTGATCTTTCACTAAAGCTCGTACTGTCTTCTGTCTTTTCACCAATGGTCTTCTCTACACTGTCATCACGACGTTCTCCCTTGCTCGTAAGTTTAGCTTTCCTAGACATTTCACTGAAGCTCGTACTGTCTTCTGCCTTTTCACCAATGGTCTTCTCCACACTGTCATCACGACGTTCCTTCTTCGTGAGCTTAGCTTTGGCTGATCTTTCACTGAAGCTCGTACTGTCTTCTGCCTTTTCACCAATGGTCTTCTCCACACTGTCATCACGACGTTCCTTCTTCGTGAGCTTAGCTTTGGCTGATCTTTCACTGAAGCTCGTACTGTCTTCTGCCTTTTCACCAATGGTCTTCTCCACACCGTCATCACGAGGTTCTCCCTTCTTCGTGAGCTTCAGCTTTGGCTGATCTTTCACTGAAGCTCGTACTGCCTTCTGCCTTTTCACCAATGGTCCCTTCGACGACATTTTCATGACGTTCTCCTTCCTTTGTGAGCATAGCTCCCACACTTCCCTCACTGAAGCTCGTACTTTTTTCTGTCTTTTCACCAAGAGTCCTGTTGACACTGCCATCAGATCGTTCTCTCTTCTTGCTGAGTTTGGCTTTCGTAGATCTCTCACTGAAGCTCGTGCTGTCTTCCGACTTTTCTCCGATGGTCTTTTCGGCACTGTCGCCCTGACGCTCGCCTCGCTTCAGTTTGACTTCTGCAGATCTTTCACTGAAGCTGGTGCTGGCCCTCTGGCTTTTCACCAATGCTCCTCTTTACACGTCAAGCCCACCACGTTCTCCCTTCTTTATAATCTTGGCTTTCACCGTCCTTTCAGTGAAAGCTCATACTGTCTTCTATCTTGTTGTTGAGAAACACCTCGGCTTTGAACTGGTCCTGTGTGTTGCCTTTGCCCTGATGTTTGGGACTGTTCGCTAAAAGTAATTTGTCCATTTACTTTCTCGTGCAGAGTCACTTCGGCATTTCCATTGCAATTCTCATTACAGCTGGTTCGATTTACACTGGAACTGTACTCGCTTAGGGTGGCCCTGCTGCATTGAATGTCGTTCAAGGTCTTTTCGATGACGTTTTCAGAGTCGCTGGACTTCAGAAGCCGAAAATTCGAGGAGCGTTCACTAAAAGTGGCCTGGTTCACTATCTTGTCACCACTGAATAATTCAGAGCTGCTGCTTTGATGATGCTGACCAGATTCAGTCAATTTGATTTTCGACCAACATTCAGATAATGCCGTTTGCTCGACTGCCGCTTGACTTAAATTTTCTCGGAGCCAACATGCTCACCTTTCTTTGATCTCGAGGACCTAACGGTGCGTTCGCTGAGAAACGTTTGATCAGCTGTTTTCAGACTCAGAATTTCTTCGGCACAGCTGTCTTGGTTTTGATCTACGCTAGAGGTTTGTAAGCGTACGTTAGCCGTGTGCTCACTAAATGTGATTTGGTCGGACTGGTTTGCATTCAAACGTTTCTCAATGTCATCATTTGTGTCACTTTTTCTCAATCGAACCCTTGAATTCTGCTCGCTAAAAGCAACTTGATCAATTGTTTGTTTCTCGAAAATCTTCTCAGCATAGTTTTCCCCGTCCTCGATGGCGGCCGTGCGGTACTGCTCTTCCATTGCTAGAAGATCTTGATAATTAGCAGTCTTTTTCAACAGAATGTTCGAGTTTCGCTCAGCAAATGATGTTTTTTCGCTGGTCCTTATTATGCTGTGCTTCTCTGCATTATTTTCAGGGTTCATGGAGGAGTTATCGGAGCTGCCGTTGTTACTTTTCAGACCAGCTGACTGTGCATGTCTGGCTCTGCTGGACGTTACAGCATTTCTGTACAGATTATCTTCCTTCATCCTCCGACTTACTTTTGAGGACCTGCTCTTCTTCGAGAATTCGGCATTGATATTGCACTCATTCCAACTTGTGGATGAACTTGCGGAATCCCCTTCGATATGGTGCGCACCGTTGTTCTCATAGGATCTCTCAAAAATGCAGCTCAAGCCTATTTCGTTAGATGATGTTGCTCCTTCAACTTGTAGGTCTTCAGGCTTCACAAGAGCCACGATTTGCGCACGATTCGCAGTATCAGCTTCAATATATCGTTCAGTACAGGGTCCTTCGAAAGAAGCTTCCTGGACGAAACAAGGTGGTTCTCCAGCTAGTGCTTGCAGAGGGAGGCTCTGAGTCAAACGCTTTTGTGTTCTCGAAATCTTCTTGGGCGAGTTCTGCTTTGACGATGATGCCGTCATTTCATTTTCCCTGGTCCTGAAATGACTGGAATATTCAGCAAGGTATGAAGAAACTCAAAAGTAGTCCTGACTAAAAGAATTGCTAACAAATAATCGGCGAAGGTCTTCAAAAATTGCTTCTGTTAAAGTAAACAAGACATACGTGGCGGTCTCCGCTGCGTCATCTTTTGTCGTTTCCATAGTAGCATCTAAAAGGAAAAGTGAACCTGATAAATTTCAAGAAGCTTCCTAGTTTTCAACCAGTGTTTATATCCGCGTGATTCCTAACCCCTGTTCAAAACATAAGCAGCTTGTAAGATATATGGTGCAAAGCTCGAAACACAGCAACAGCACATATGAAAGAATTATCATTTGTTCTATAATGTTCATCTGGAGTGCTTTTGAAGGAAGGTGGGCCAAATTTTAAAAACTCATTCGACGGAAGGCATCTATTGTTTCACTTCATTCGGAACAGGGCTAGGTTCATGTAGCCTGCACCGCCACCAGGACGAAATCTCATCGGATGTAACTTGCGATCGTTCGCATGCATGAGGCAAAGGCTGCAAAGGAGAACATCGCGGAATCTCTTGTGATGTCCACAAGGAGCGCACAGAATGGCACCAAAGGTAAGAAAAGAATGCGGCCTACCCAGGATCAGTGCGGTAATGGGAAAGATCAAGAAGAATGGCAAATTGGGTTGAAGCTGAATCACAAGCCATCGATAAGCAGAAGCTACATTGTTTTCCCTACATTGTGCAAATATGCCGTTCCAAACTAGATGCTAATACATAATGATAAACTCATGAGGGTCGCAACAACACTAATTACCTTAAGGTCACACAAGAACCACTTGCAAAATGTTCCCGAAAGTCTATAGAGTGAAAAACTGCCTTAACTTCAAAAGTGAATTATTTCAATGACAACTCAACTTTTCCTTTCACTTTTGCTCGAATTCTTGTGGAGCGCTCACCATGTCATCGTCGCTAAACGATGACTCCACAATACGCTTTTTGTTCTTGCTAATTTTTGATGCATGCAGCTATGTCAGCGTCCTTTTTTTCCTTTTTCAGATAATGTCCCAACGAATAAATCGCTCTATTCCGAAGAAAAGCATAAATTGTCGCAAAAAGTGATCGACTTGTTAAAGCATGAGAGATTCTAATTGAAATGACCTATTGGTCTACAATATCTTCGAGAATTCGGTGGGATCTTGATTTTCGAGAGTTCTCCGCACCCTTTTCACTTCTCGACCAAGATAAGACAGCGACCAAGTCCCACATTTCGTTCAGGAGTAGAATGTGTGAACTTCGCCATATCTTACTGTCGCTTTTTAGCACGTAGCACAGCAAGGAAAAAAGTGGAACATTCAACATAAAGGCCCCTCAAAACTGAGTCGTGCTCGTGAAAAACTTCATCGACCCGATACAAGTAGGATGAGGTCGCAAGTGTGCCTTTTTGAAGTTTCAAACTCCTTTTGTCAATTGTCGGTTTTTTTTTCTATGTAGTTCCCGCAAACCTTCCGCGGCCGTTTCATGCGGTTCTTCAGCGAGTCACTGTTCTTATTAAGGACACTTTTTCAAAGGTGTTGAAGTGTGTTGCTTTTTGAAAGTATGCCTTTCCATTTCATGTTGACCTTACGGTCGCCGTTTCGCATTCATTTTTGACCAGCGGAAATCTACCTCAGGACTTAGGTTCGTCGCTAATTGAAAAACGTAATAGGAGCTCAGCTTCGGGCCTTTCCGGCCCTTTCGTCCCGTTTTTGCTCCATTATAACAATATATATGCTTCTATTGCTGCACGAAAACAAACAGGATAGGCGCATTTATAATTTCAAGTCGGGAAGTGCAAAGAATTTTTCTCACCTATTCAAGATGGAATGGATGAGAAATGCCGGCGAGCATATTGCAAGCAGTTCATAAATAGACTTGAGGCCTGTATTCGTGCCGGTGGAGTGAATTTTGAATTTGGGCTGTTTGATGTTGTATGTGATGCACGTATTCTTATGCATAAATTCCACGAAAATCTCCATTTGGAAGCTTATAAGGCATTGTAATATATGCACCGCCTCAATCCTGGTACCCCCTGTACATGTGTTTTTTTTGTCGAACACTCAAGCAAAAGCTGTCACCTTTGTCCTCTGTTGAAGTGGTGGAGATTGTTTGCTGGGAGTCAACTAAAATAGATCTCTATTGATTGCTGACTTGACATCTAGCCAACACTCAAAAATTCGATGAACCAGCGACTTGAGAAGAAAATACACAGCATGCACATGCAGATTTAGTTGAACATAACAGATGAGCTCAAATGCTTACCTTGTCATCGAATTCATAAAGTTTTTTAGAAAACAAACCATTACCGGACAGCAAGAGCTCCTGAAATGCAGGTTTTTCCACAAAGGACAATTTCTCTCGCAAACTGACAAAGTGTACCTGCTTGAATATCAGATTTGTCCATAAAGAGTTCAAAGCTATTCAGACAAGCTCGACGTCGTGAGAGAACGGGCAGGAGCCACATTGATGTGTTTAGCACAGAGCGCAAAGACACGAAACATCTCTTACCTTGAAACAGCTATTGCGAGAAATCAGTATGAAAAAGTAACACGAAATGTACTCAAGAATAGAACAGTCTAGAGCTGCGGCGATACTGCTCCACGCAAAGTCAGAGCTCGAGAGAAATCGCAGCTACTCCATTCGGAGCTCAAAGTATGCAAAGATTGCAAGTACAGACGAGCGATGGGTTTGATCCCTGCTGAGGCAAAAACCATGCCTTGCGAAGACTATGAAAATGTTGTTGATACCACTGTTTACCGCGAGTTGAATAGCCGTTTGATAGGAACCAAATCGCAGCAAAGTGATCGAGAGTCGCAATCATCATAGATATAGAAGAGAATAACGTCATGAACAATGAACACAGCGGACCACAAAAGCGCGGGAATAACGCTAGGGAGAACGAAGAGTTCAGGAGATGTTCAGAGCGGCGATTTTGCATAACACAAGCAGCGCTCATGGCATAAACCGGCTCCTCACCTGTACGAATTACTTCTTTTCATTCAAGGGTTCGAAGCGGGTGTTAGACATTTTTGGAGGATTCTTACCTTCTCAGCTTTCTCCCCCCTTTGCAGGTTCGCCTGACGGGTCGTCTCACCCTCGCTGACTCCTCTGCTCTCGTCTGACACAATTGTAGCAAATAAAGCGTAGAAGATAGCAGGGAAGAATAGTAACACACGAAATGTGAAAATCCCGGTTTTCTGATGAGTATGAAACATAACAGACACACGCTTAATTACTTCTGCCAAACGAGGTTGTTAGATGGAACCTTTTATTGGCCGACGTTTCGACCTTCTCGTCTTCTTCAGAGGCCTGAAAATGGCTCGAAGCTTTTAATTTGTCACCTACCCGACCAAGCGCCTTCCCCCACTCTAGCGCCTCCGAAGAACCCGGTAATAACTGCGCACTACTCACCGAGGTTCCACCGTGCGGAGCCTAGCTCACGCTATGTGTCAGTAGGTAAGTAAGGACGAATGAGTCTCACTAGAGTCTCATCGTGTCACATAAGTCAAAATTGTCATTGTGCACGTCGCCCTTACTGTAGCTCGCACTCTGATACAAACGGCAAGAACTCATTTGTAATTGACGGACACTCGTTTCGGCCGTTCATCCTTGGTTTTCTCGCGAAAATCCAGAATGATTCCAAGACTTTCCTAGAAGAGATCACGTACCCCAGTATAGTACACTTAACATCAAAGTCGTTCCATTATGCGTTATGCTCCTCAATCTTATGCTTGCCGAGAGGGAGGGGGTCATCATATCACGCCTCTTCCCAGCTAGGTGTTCCTTGACGCGAGTAGCTAAGTCCCTTCCTGTTTCCCCGATGTACGTGCTGTTACAAGCCCTGCATTCAAGTTGATAAATTACCCCAGTTTTTCACAATCTCCTAACCTTCCATATGGGCAAATAACGCAATCTGGTGTCATGCACTGCCTGTCGTTACGAACAAGTTGGCGTATGATGTTGCTGTTGGGAATATTCACCAAGCAACATCATCCTGTAACTGTGCTCTCACAATACTGCGACGTATTTCAGTGCTGATGTCATCGGAAATAAAAGGAAGGCACAAGGGTAGCTTCCCTTGGCGTGATACATGTGGTGTGTCGAAGGCTGGCATTCGATGTTCTACGATATGCTCGTACCGCATTCTCCTTAGCAACCTTCGAAGCTAGAAATCTTGATTCCTGTCGTTCTTCTCGCCTGTGCACATCCTGGTTGCAGTCGTGATCATGTTCCTGATGACTGCACGTTTTACCGCAACAGGATGTGAAGACGTTGCGTGAATCAGGATATTCTTACAGCTAGGTTTGCGGTACCATTTTACTTTAGCAATGCCATTGGACAGCTTCACCTGCGTATTCAGATATGGTAGCCAACCGTGTTTTGGTACTTCTCGTGTGAGCCTTATGTACTGCGACTGCTCATTTAGTAATCGGAAACACTCATCCATTTCGGATTGTGTTGATGTTATAATGAAGCAGTCGTCGATATACCTGCACATCAAAGGAGAGCGACTCAGTACTGGTTCTTCAATTCTGCTCATAAAGCAGACCGCAAGTATTTAGTAGTATTAGTGGTATTAGTAGTATTAGTATTAGTATTTTATTTCTTGGTTTAGTAACGTCTACTGATGGACCAATAAATCCTTCAGATTGTTATCATGTAATCGCCAAGTCGTGAAAGGTCAGTAGTCAGCAAGAA